CATAATAACGTGAAACCAAAAGCAGAAAAAGAGGTAGCACCTGTTGATGAAGCAGAAAAGCAGGTCAATCCTCCCAAGGAAGATTTGCTCAATGAAGGGGAGAAGCAGGAGGAGGCTGCGGAACGGCCGGAGGAGCGTGACTCGGAGCAGGAGGTGGCGCCAGCAGAAAAACCTAAGCCGGCAGTTCCTCCTAAAGTTATTGACGCAGTTGAAATGGCGGTGAAGGTCTTTGGTATGTCTTCTTTTTGATCTTTTTCTGTTTATTATTACTGTCAGTGCACGGAGTTATTTAAGCATGTTTATTGAGTCACCTAAGCTGACGTAAATAGCGCTTCTATCATTCGCTTCTACGAACCGAAGTTTTATACCGTTAGGTTTTATGCCTTTGTAAATTCATACAATTGCCAGAAAGCCTACTTTGGCCCCTAATTTTTTTGTCGATTTTTGTCTCACCAGAATTTTCTATAGAAACCTCCTTTACTCGTATATATTGTTTCGCGCTGTCATCCAAGGGGACGGCACTGTTGCGTTAGACCTTAACAAGCGTCAGACAAGTTTGACTCTTCAGCTTTTTAATTTCCTTAGAAATTGATTTAAGTTTTTTGTATAGATTAGTACATTCAAGGTCTATAGGCGTAGACCAAAATTTGAGAACAAATATTAATCTTTAAGGAAATTAAAAGGCGGAACTTTCAAAGCCGGTATATCAACAAGAAAGCAAGCAAGGTAAACTGGGGACCCTTGTGATAAGCCGGACCCCTCGCAACTGTGTCAAGCAGCGGCAAAATACACGTGTCTGGGCTTTTAGCTAGTACCTCTACTGCCAGTATGCTAAATTACATTATCGAATTTGACACTGTTCGACGGAATTTCTGTGCTACTTTGAGCACTGCACGCAGTCTAATCCACATCGGGCTTGGCTCCAACTTGCTAATGATGCATAATGAAGGGTAAACTATGAAGAAACTAACCCCAAGGGAAACTTTATCGCGCCGATCCAGCGTCTAGTTTTTTAACTATAATATGTTTGAGTGGCCTCCAAATTCTTAGGACACGTTTGGAGTCGGCCATCGGGAGGTTGCCAACTAGTGAGAACTACTCCCTCGTTTTCTACGCTGAGAATCGGGCAGCAATAACTTTAAATATTCCTCCTATGCTATCTGTTATTCCTCCGAGGTCCATAGAGTATATACCCAGTTCGTATGCATTTAGGGGTCAAGACATATACCGCTCACCTCCACAATCATCTCCAGTCTTGCCATTTGGAGACGTTGGGTGTAA